TCACTACCCCCTGACGTCCCACGCTGAAACAACCACTCACGAAGCTGCTGGGGCAACTGGGTTTTGCTCCGACGCTGCTGCTGCTGCCGCTGGCCACCACCAGAGCCTCCATGCCTAGGTCCTGCCCTACCGCCTCCAGTCCCACCGCCTCCACTGCCGCCACTCCCACCGCTGCCTACACCGCCGCCACCAGAGCCCCCACTCCCACCACCAGTCCTACCGCCTCCACCACCTCCACTGCCTCCACTACCTCCACTGCTGCCCCCAACACCACTCCCGCTGCCACCTCCACCACCACCGCTTCCACCTCCACCACCCCTGCCACCCTCGCCCTTGCTGCTGCGGCGTATCGCACTAGCAGAAGCAGCCCCGACATCCTCAACAACAGAGACGTGTGCGGGAGCAGCAGAGGCGTAGGAGGGAGCAAGGGGGGAGGGGGACCACCCCTCAAAGAAGGGCGGGCGCGGAGTGCCACGAGCAGCACCTACAGCAACTGCACTACTCTCAGCTGCGAGGAGATGCTGCTCGAGGAGGTCAATAGTGAGGACTGTACGGTCAAGGGAGAGAAAGTGGTCCCTGACAGAGCGAAGAGAGTCAGGGAGGCGAGTGACTATGAAGTAGCGGGGGCTGGTTCCTGTCAAGGAACTCAGCAGGGACGGTAGCGCGGTAGCGAGCGTCGCTAGTGCGCAGGTGGGAAACCAGGTCCTCTACTGTGGCAAAAGCTGACAGCTCGGGGAACAGGTAGGGCAGTAGCAGTCGGCCTAGAGAAGCAGTGGCAGGCGAGGAGTAGCGAGCTACAACTGCAGCATACAGTGCCTGTGCTGTCCTGTGCTTTTCGAAGTGAGCACATTCAGCTAATGGCAGGTGGTTGGGAATGGCTAAGCGGGCAGCAGCGTTGCGAGTAAGCCACTGTGAGCGAGTCGCACTGTCAGCTGTGGCGGGAGGGGCAGTAGCAGCACCTGACGCTAGGTTAAACAGCGAAACACTGTCCTTAGAATCGCTCAGTAGGTACAGCTGCAGATCATCAAGCCACGTGTCAAACTGAATTGGTCTGCCCTCATGATCAAACGCTAGAACTCGAAGCAAAGCCATCGGGGCACAGTACGTAGGAGCAGCAGTAGCAGCAATAGCAGTAGCAGCAGTAGCAGTAGCAGCAGCAGTAGTAGTAAGAGCAGCAGCTGGGGCCGAGGGGCCGAGGGGCCTAGGGGCCAAGGGGCCGAGGTGCCGGGGGCCTAGGGGCCAGGGGGGCGAGGGGCCGAGGGCCTAGGGGGGACGGGGCCGCGGGGCCAGGGACGAAGGGGCCGAGGGGCCTGGGGTCTAGGGGCCGAGGGGCCGAACACGAAGGGGGGGGGGGGGGGCGAGGGGCTGAGGGGCCAAGGGGCCGAGGGGCCTGGGGCCTAGGGGCCAAGGGGCCGAGGTGCAGAGGGGCCGAGGGGCCAAGGGGCCGAGGCTAGGGCGACGGGTCGCTAGGGGCCGAGGCTAGGGCGACGGGGCCACGGGGCCGCAGCTAGGGGCGACGAGTCATGATGGGCCGAGGGGTCGCTAGGGGCCGAGGCTAGGGGGACGGGGCGACAGGGCCGCGGCTAGGGGCGACGGGTCGCGAGGGGCCGAGGCTAGGGGCGACGGGGCCGCGGTTAGGGGCGACGGGTCGCGACAGGCCGAGGCGAGGGGGGGGGGGACGGGGCGACGGGTCGCGAGGGGCCGCGGCTAGGTGCGACGGGGCAACGGTCGCGAGGGGCCGTGTTGCCGAGGCTAGGGCGACGGGTCCGCGGCTAGGGGCGACGTGGCAACGGGTCGCGAGGGGCCGCGGCTAGGGGCGACGGGTCGCTAGGGGCCGAGGCTAGGGCGACGGGGCGACGGGTCGCTAGGGGCCGCGGCTAGGGGCGTCGGGGCGACGGGTCGCTAGGGGCCGAGGCTAGGGCGACGGGGCGACGGGGCCAAGGGGCCGCGGCTAGGGGCGACGGGGCCAAGGGGCCGCGGCTAGGGGCGACGGGTCGCTAGGGGCCGAGGCTAGGGCGACGGGGCGACGGGGCCAAGGGGCTGCGGCTAGGGGCGACGGGGCCAAGGGGCCGTGGCTAGGGGCGACGGGGCCAAGGGGCCGGGCTAGAGGCGACGGGTCGGGGCCTAGGGGGCCAACGGGTCGCGAGGGTGTTTAGCAGGGCAGCAAGTGGTGGGCCCAAAAAAAAGAACGGTCCAAGAAGGGACCGGCTCTGATACCATGTCAGAATAATGAACGAGAGTGAATGCATTGAGAAGAAGTTGGGTACAAGTACTAGCCATAATTGGGTTGTACTATAGCCTACACAATATAAGCTATATAACATTTTGACACGCGGTTGGTGGGATTGGTGCCTCTTTGGGTGGAATGGGGGCTGGTGTCGGTTGGTTGTTGGGATTGGTGCCTTTGTGGGTGGAATGGGGGATGGTTCAGGGCGGTTGTTTGGATTGGTGCCTTTATGGATGGAAGGGTGGCTGGTGGAGGGCGGATGTTGGGATTGTTGCCTTTATGGGTGGAATGCACACCTGGTGCAGCGTGAGTGTTGCTTGAGGCGCCTTTCTGGGTGGAATGGGGGCTGGTGCAGTGTGAGTGTTGAGATCAGTGCCTATGGGTGGAATGAGGGCTGGTGCAGCGTGGGTGTTGAGTGAGGTGCTTTTCTGCATGATCACGGACGCGGTTTGCAGCCCATCGCCCACCTCCGTAAAAATCTACGCGAAGCATAATTGAATCACCCCATCCCTAACAAGGAAGCGCTAGTGATAGTCACAGCGTTCAAGGCGTGGAGGTGTTACCTAGAGGGAGCTAAGACTACAGTCTATACTGACCACTACAGTCTCAAATACCTGAAGTCACAGCCTACACTTTCACGACAACAGGTGCGGTGGGTGGATATTCTAGAAACTCACTTCCACTGCGACATTGTCTAAAAATCGGGCCACACAACAATGCAGATGCGTTGAGACGCCCCGGACATATAGCAGGCATCCAGCTCGACGGGATGAACCCTCTGCTCAAGGGAATATTCCAACATGGGTACTCCGTGGACGCAGAGATTGTTACGGCACAGAACCAGAAGCTTTTACAGTGGGAGAAGGACTTAGCTGTAAGGAAGGGTTCAAAGAAGATTTGGGTACCAAACTATGCCTCGCTACGGCAGATCTTACTGGAGTTGTTTCACGACGAAACCATATGCGGGACATTTTGGGAGCAACAAAACGTTAGCAGGGATAGCAAAGTATTACTACTAGCCCCGGATGGCAGCAGACATGCAGCAGTTCGTCACCTCATGCGACACGTGCCAGCGGATGAAGAGTAGCAAGCAGAAAAAAGCAGGGTTACTTCAGCCTCTACCCGTACCGGGCAACGCACGCCGTGCTCTGAAAGACTATCTTGTCAAGCAGGGTGTTTCTCACGCCACCCAGCTGTCAAACTAAAACTTTTATAGTTTTTATTGTTTAGTCTAGATGGTGTGCACCTTGGTTAGTGCTAGGGTTAGGTTTGCTATATCTACGCTTGTACTTGCTCATTCTAATCATTCATTCTTCCAGTTCTTTGACATGGTATAGAGCTTAGTTCGTTCCCATGGGCCCACCTCCGCACGCCCTGTTCGTTGCTCGATAGGCGCCCATAGCGTGCTCGCCGCCCTTTGGATCGCTTGTTTTAGGGTTTCACATGCTAGCCGCTCGGTAGCTGCCCGTAAGCCGCCCGTCCGCCGTCCGTTCGCCATCCGTTCGCCACCCGTTGCCTGTAGCGCCCTCGGCAGGTCCCGCGCCCCCCCCCGGGCCTTCGTCCTTCCCGTAGCGCGGCTACCACGGGCCTTAGTTCGACCCTTAGCTCAGCCCCCCTGCGGGCGCTCCCGTTCGTCCTTAGCGCGGCCCCCACGGGCGCTTCCGTTAGTCCTTAGCGTGCCCCCCCCGCGGGCGCTCCCGTTCGTCCTTAGCGCAGCCCCCGCGGGCGCTTTCGTTCGTCCTTAGCGCGGCCCCAACGGGCGCTCTCGTTCGTCCCGTAGCGTCCCCCCTTCCCCCCCCCCCCCACCCCCGCGGGCCCTTACATGCGACCCGTCGTATGCCTTCCCCCCCCCCCTCCTCGCCCCCCCCCCCTCGTTCGTCCTGTAGCGCGTCCCCCCCTCCCCACCCCGTGGCCCCTCTTTTGTCTCGTAGCGCCCCCCCCCCCCCCCCCCCCCCCCCCCGCGGGCACTCTTGACGCGACCTAGGTCGCGCGTCACCCGTCGCCCGTAGCACCCGTTGCCCGAAGCGCCCGTCGCCCGTAGCGCCCGTCGTCGCCCGTAGCGCCCGTCGCCCGTCGCGCCCGTCGTCGCCCGTAATCCTATTTTTTTGCCCGTCGCCCGTAGTGCACACTCACGTAGCCACGCCCAAGTGACCGCACACACGTACCCGCGTACACCCAGTCGCGCGTCCCCCTTTCCTAGGCCGCCCGCGTCCGTTATCTTGGCCGCCCGTGACCTACATGATTTATTCAGAATTATTCATTAATTTATTAAAAAAAATAAAAGAGAGAGAGAGAGACTTAGCACCAGCCACTACTTTGAATCTCCTGCATGCGCCAGCACCAGCGTTTAGCGCATCAGAAACAGCTCTTGCAACCTTAAGTCGCGCCAGCACTAGCTTAGGCTATCCTACCACTTATGCTGCCGCCTCGACTGGCCCCTACCCCCCCGTACTAGCGTGCCATGTTGATGTGGCGACGGCGGCAGCAGCATCAGTGGTCGCAGCACCAGTGGCAGCAGCACCGGTGGCCACAGCAGCAGCAGTGGCCGCAGCAGCAGTGGCAGCAGCACCGGTGGCCGCAGCAGCAGCAGTGGCCGCGTCAGCAGTGGCCGCGGCAGCAGCCGTGGCCGCAGCACCTGTGACCCTCATTCAGCCAGAGGTAAACCGTCGTTGTGGTCGGCGTCGATCTGTTATGGGTGTATTCTAAACTATTTTTGCCTTTCCGCCTTGTGCTGCAGGAAATCTCTGTCCGCTTGGACACCGAATACCATAACATGTCCCTCAAGGAGACGCTGAAGTACGAGAGGGAGCGCTCCGCGGTCGAGAAGATTGACCTTCAGGAGGAACTCGAGAAGCGCGACGATACCATCGCGACGCTGACCGCCAAGATAACCCGTCTCACCGAGGCACTCCATGTGTCAGAAGCACGGAGGATGTCGGCAATGCCACCGTCGGGGAACGAGCAGGCGCCGAGCGAGAGTGGCTCCGCGGATTCGGCCAGTACGGGGGTCGGAGCCAAGAAACGGGGTGAGAAACCCCCAAAACCCCCACAAACGCTCGACGAGGCTCGTTACGAGCTCAACGTGGTGCAGCCTTGGTGGGAGGCAAAGACCGTGAGAGACGCTTGGCGCCTCTGGAACTCCACCACCGCCGATGACACCCGTCGTCTTTGCGACAGGGTCGCCGAGCCGGGATTCGTCGACCGCCATACCCTCCTCAAAGGCGCGACGCAGGGTGCATACGACGTGAAGGTGCGCCGCATGCTGGAGGACATGGATGCAGTGCGCCTTCTTCGCTCGAGCGACGGCGATGCCGACACCGAAGCCGTCGTCGCTGCCCTGAACATGATCGCGGCGCCGGGCATCGGGACCTTTTGCGATGCCCTCATGGTGCTCAAACCAGGAACCGCACCGACGAAGTCAAAGGAGCCTGGCATGGGCGTCAAGGGGCTGGGCCCCAAGTTGGTCTCGAAGCTTTGTCTCGCCTGTGCGCTGGTGGCGGTCAACTTGAAGCCGAGCGCTTGGGTCGCCGTCCTGTTTCCAGACACCTGGGAGGAGCAGATGCCGAAGACCGTGGCCGACATGGCCAAGCAGACCGCACCTGTGCTGCGTCCTCTGACCAAGCGCAAGAAGGCGGCATGAATACCTTTGGAGCATATGCGTGTGCGTAGTTTGATGATGCTCTAATTGTGGTCGATTTTACCAAACCATGATGCTTATATTGTTCATGAAGTTGGTAAACGATACGAACCTAAGGCACATAACAAGGCCCATGCGAACCTAGATGATCCAACAATGGTAACTGCAGTCGGTCGCCAACCAACAAACACCCCGAATATACTTGCAGACAGCCAAACCCTCTGTGTCGACAGACATCCAACGACGCCGACGTATTGTCGGACTCCGAGTAGCATGTGAGTGTGCAATTCAGAGGGTAGCGATCATGTCGACATCGCCGACGAGGGTTCTAGTTTCATGAACTACCAAAAAGTTACATGCACTACCACATAAGAAAACACAAACAAACAAGTTACATGCACTACGAAAGAACTAACAAAAAAACTACGCAGTCGGCGCCGGCCAGGCCAAACTGTTATACACCCTAGCAATCAGACCACCTAGCGCTCCCTCCGCGCGCCGACTACGCCGCTGTGCTGTCCTTGCCCTTCCTGCCCTTCTTCCCCTTCTTCCCCGTGCTGTCCTTACCCTGCTTGCCCCTCTGCCCCTTCCTCCCCCTATGTTCAATATCGTACTCCATCCGCGCGTCACACGGCACTGCGATGCCGATCTCTTCGAGTTTCGGCCCGGCGACGGGGCACATTCCCCAGAACGCCAAGGTCTCCACCGTCGCTCTAGCGATCACGTCGGCTTCGACTTCATGATCCACCCCCGGATAGACTCGGTGCAGAGCGAGACTCTGCAGCGCCGGCGCGACGTTGTGCGCAACCTCCCCAAGGGGTTGCTCCCTGTCGATCTCGGCCTCCAGCACCGCCTGCATGACCTCCTTGAAGATACCGGCGGTCTTCTTGCTCGCACCGACCACCATCGCCGCCGCCTTCCCTTCGCCCACAGCATCGACCACCTGGGCATCGTCGTTCTCGACAAAGCACCACACGGCGCAAGCGGAGGCCGATAACGCCTATGCCGCCATCGCCGTCTTCTCATCAGTGTCTCCCTCCTTCCTCGCCGTGCTCGCAGCGACCTTCCCATACGCAGCGCACATGGACACGCGACCTATCATGGCCGGCATCATAGCATCCGACTTCTCCTTGCCTTCCCATGTGACGGCATCGACGGGGAACCAGATCGCAGGCAAGAGTGCGTTGTGGTGCTCATCGCCTGAGCTCTTGTACGCTCGATACTTGCCGAGAATGTCATCGAACCTGTCATACAATCACATGAAACCGGGCGACCATTAGTGACTCCGACATCGTCATCAACACTCGGCCGAATGGTATCCGACTTACCGTGTTTTTGGAAGGTACGCGCCCCATGCCCATATCACCGTCCACATCCCTGTCGGCAAAATCTTGGGTTCCTCCCACACCTTCCTCCACTTCTCCAACTCGGTTTCCTCCAAGCCGGTGAGCTCGGCGATGAGGACCTTGCTGACGTAACCGTCGTAGACGATGTACGCAATCGAGTGCAGGTACGCCAGCTCCATCTTGTCGCCCGACTTGCCGATGTATCGATTAGCGCCGAGCACCTTAATCTCGCCCACCCACCCTAGACCGTCGCCCGAGTTGTCGTGGCGGATGCCATGACCCTTCCATCCTTTCTCCTTCTCCTTCTCCTCCTTCTCCTTCTCCTTCTCCTTCTCCTCCTTCTCCTTCGTCTTCTCCTTCTCCTTCTCCTTCTCCTCCTTCTCCTTCTCCTTCTCATCCTTCTCCTCCGCCTTCTCCTTCCCTTTCTCCACCGACTTCTCCTTCGCCTTCTCCCTCCCTGTCTCGGCCGACATCGCCTGTGTTTTCCTCTGAGAGCTCGCCCTCCCTTTCCCTGTGTCGGTCTTCCCCTTCTGTTTCGACTCTCCCTTGCCGACAGCATCAGTGGTCGTCTTTGGCTCCGCTGAACCACCGGGGGGGGACTCGCCGAGGGCTCCACATGCGCCGTGTCCGAGATGGCCAGAGCAGGGGGGTGCCGGGGGCGTTTTACCGCTTCCAACAGGTTCAGGATGGCAGCGATGTCGGCGTCGTTGTGGCCTTTCGACGCCTGTGCATGGTCAACGGCTCCGCCGCTGGTGGCTAGCGCTGCCCTCACGCCCTTCTCCGCCGCCTTGTTTACCGACGTCGGCGTCGCGCTTGAGCTGGCTTCCGGCTGAGTCCGTGCTAGCGCTGCCACACTACGTGCGCCTAACCAGGCGCGAAGCAATGCGGACTTTGGGTCCCCAGTAGGATGGGCGGCGACCAAAGGCGCGATATGTGGGGCACTGGGCATTGTGGCGGCGACCTGCGGAGTGACCGAGCGACGTGCTGCTTCGGCGGGGGCGGCATCGACCAAGGGAGGCTACTGCACGTCCTTGCGATGGGCCTCCATGCGGTGGAGCATTTCCCTGAGCGCGTTCGCTGCTGCGGGCACCTTAGTGGCGGTCGGACCGTCGCGGTTAGCCGCAGCATTCTTCGCGTCGCCCTTGGCGGCAGACGGGCCTGCTGGAGCTGGAGTAGCCGCAAGGGCCGGCCCATCGTTGTTGGCGGCTGACGGGCCGATCGGCGCGCTGCTAGCCGCAGGGGGTTTTCAGGGAATCGACGTGGTCCCCACCACCCGGACAGATGGTCCCTTGACGGTTCTGGCGCCTTTATCTATCGCCGTTTGAGCGGTTGGGATCTCCTCGTCGCTCAAGCCTTTCCCGCCGACCAGACCATGGGGCGAGGCTGTTGGTCCAGCGTCTTGAGCGGCAACCTCGTCGGCATGGCCCCCATCTGCACTCCCGATTCCATCGCCCTTGCTGTGCAACCTTACCTTGGCCCCGTTCTTCTTGAGCTGGTCGACCACGCTCTGACCTCGAGTCCGCGAGCTGCCTGGACCCACCGCGCCGATGCCGTGGCTCCCATCCGCTCCCTTGCTCCGCTTCACGCTCCCCGCATCATCTCCGCCGCCCGCCCTTTTTTGGCCTTGCTTGTCGGCCTCCCTTCGTTGCGCGGGATCGGCGTTATTGGCCGACGGCGACGACCCACGCCGACCAGCCGCCACATTGCCAATCACCTCGGTCATGAGCTTTAACCCAGACGCAACAAACGACTGCTGGGTGCCCTCTACCACCGCCTTCAACACGTCCGCCTTGAACGACTTCATGAGCTCGTCCGGGAAGGCTGGCATGGGCTGCGGCGGGGGGGGCGGCGGCGGCACGGCGATGGTGCGAGTTACCGCGGCGGCAATGTTGGTCTGCGCGGCGGCTAGGTGCTTCGAGATGTAGTCCTCCAAACCCAGCTTTGCATCGTCCACCACCGCTTCCACGTGGTTGCCCACGGTGGTGACCGCTTTTGCGCGTTCAACTGCCATACTTCCCTCCAGATCGTCGATTTCCGCCAACCACGTCGACGCCTTTTTGGCGAAGGACTTCATTGCCTTCCACGATTCATCCATGTGGTTGGTGATGTTGTCCGTGATGGTTGTCGACACGGCCGACGTCGCATCTAGCAGCCGTTTCGCCGCATTATGGTCGGAGACGGTGACCTGGTTGGCCAACGACTAGAGCTTGTCGAGTAGTCCGCGTATCCCCAACATAAACCTGTCCACCCGACCCCTTTCATCTCCGAGCGCCTTCTCCAGACGGGCATTTTCTGCCGTCAATCGCCTGTTCTCCTGTCGCAGCTGCTCGACGACGTCCAGCGGTGCCTGCCGACCAGATGCGGAGGAACCGAGATGACCGCGCGCCGCAAACTTCTTCCTAGACCGCTCCCCCCCGGCCTTCCCTGCGGTGGTCTTGGTAGGCCTGTCCACGCCCGTCTGCTTCGTGGCCGCGGCGTTGTCTTCTTCTCCAACGGCCTCGAGGTCGATAACTTCCTTCGCGTCGCCAACCACATCGCCGACCACGACCTTCTCACCCCCCCCATGAGCCTCCTCCACGCCGACTTTCTTCTCCTCGGCATCCTCCCCTCCCTCGTTCACATCATCTGCCGACCTCTCAGCCGTTTCCGCCGCTCCTTCTACGTACTCCATCTCCATTTCCTCCAACTCCCACTCGACCTCTTCATTCTGCTCCCCCTCTTACTGCTTCTCCGCCTCCTCCTCCTCCTCCTCCTCCTCCTCCTCCTCCTCCTCCTCCGAGCCCCCCTCCTCCTCCTCCTCCTCCTCCTCCTCCTCCTCCTCCTCCTCACGATCCTTGTTATCATCCTGGTGCTTCTCCGCGGTCCCTGTCACCGCCCTTCCCGCCTCCTCATCTTCCTTGTCGACGCCGCCTCCGAGCTCTCCGATCGAAGTCCCACGCTCATCATCGACAGTGTGGGCGACACCTACTGCTTGGGATGCCGAAGGGGCCTCCTCGCCGTTGTCGTCACAGGCGTCGGCAGCAACTCCGACATGGCCTGACCGTTTGAGAGCGACGTACTCCTTGATGAATGTTATCATCCCATTCCGCAGCCCCTTTAACCCCGAAACGTTGACCTTGTCCATGCTGGACACACTGCGACGGAGGGCGCCGGGCAGGAGATCCATCCTCCTCACCACCCAGCACAAAGCGCTCATTGCTAGCAGGCCGGAGCCCGTGTCCCCATCCCGGACGGCATTGGGCACTTTCTGCATACAACAGTTCAGAGTGCAAGGATGAGCACCGCGTTCGGCAATCGCATCGCGCAAGGATGACACACTATAGGACGGTAAATCGTTCGGAACTCACATCTCGAACAGGTTTATCGCAGTCGGTGAGCCTGTCCTCCACCTCTTCAGTAGAAGGCTTCGCCCACTCCCACTTCCTACCATCGCGCCCAAGCTTGGCCAGGACCGCCACCCGAAAAAACCTGAAGCAAAATGGCACAGATTGTCGGTAAGCATGGTTTACGCTGCGCAGCGAAATTACATGCGTCGTCGACTACACCATCGAGCTCACTTCAGCACGTGGATTGCCTCGTCGCGGTGCCACTGCTTCACGGTCCGCGGGTCAATGTGCCGGATCGAGGTCCTGATCTTCTCCCCCCCAGCCTTCAACAATTCGACAGGGTACAGGATGACAACGATGCTGCAATGTGCTCCTGGAAGCGGTGCGATGCTGCACAGGCAAGGCACGACGACGTCGTTCAGTACAGAGCACCGACATAGGTTGCAACACACATCATGACGACCTCGAAGTCAGGGGGATAACCGCTACGTCGGCGTCGAACACCGTCGCAAAACATGTGTGGTCCGCCCGACCCATCGCCGCCCAAAGTCGGCCAAGTCCTATCGACCACAATCGCTTGTTGGTCGGTGCCGCGCGAGTCCATGCGTGCCTGCACGCATGCATGGGTATTAGAAGTGAGTGAGGATGTGCACGACATGACGGTGGATACGTTGGTTTAGGAACCGCCAACCGACGGGGATGGCAATAGTACGACGGTGCACCACCCTCGCGACGTTGTAATCAATGGAGCCGACCGATGCGGGCCTAAACCCTGTGCCGAAATCGACCTACTGGAGATAATCCTGAATCCTAAAGTCGACGTCGACGTGAACTCGTAGCGCCGCCCTAGACGTGGGACAACCCTAACACCGACGCTGCGTCGACCAACAATGTATGAAGATGTCGGAGACTCACTTGAGGCCCAATGCCAAGCAACAGGCGTTGAACTCTAGCCTATGGTCTATGAGGACGGCGTAGTCGTGTTCCTTGAGCTTGGCAGTGAGTCCACTACCGAGGTCGAGATACAGAGGTAAGTCCTGCACGGTCGGCGCCGCTTCGCCGGCTTTCGGGTCGGCCTCCATGGCGGTGAAGGGAATTGACTACAGGCTAAGGGACAAGAATGTGGGAGTAATGTTGAAAGAGAAACGAGATGCCGAAAACGAGGAGCGATGCCTCCTTCCACCAAGGATAGGGAGTCGGTGCCCCACAGGCCGGTTGAGGCATCGACCAGGGTTCGTGGTGCCTGGCTCGGCAGGGTTTGGCGGGCTGCATGCACAAGTGGCACAAGTGCTCCTTCGCCACCGAGCCAGCACGTCGACTTCGCGTCCCCAAGCTTTGCTCGGCGAGGGGACGCAATTTCGCATGCGTGCGGTGCGACGTTTCGGCCGACACGTGTCAATTTCACAGCGGATCGCGAAGACCCCGCGCCGCGATGAGAGCGATCCAATTTCGCCAAGCTCGAAATTTCGCATGCACCCAATGCAAACCCGCGTGCGAGCACAAGGCGTCACCGCAACGGGTCGCGAAATTGTCGAGCATCCCGAGGGGAGCACCCGAATTTCGCATGGCCCTCGCCTGCCCGTCCGGGCAGGTCGCGAGGGTCACTAGGACGTCGCGGGCAGCAGGCACGAGAGGGCTGCCTTCGCGCGAGGGCTCGCCAGCTCGCCGCCCCCACCCGGTAATGTGGGGCGTTGTTTCATCACGCAAGGGGGTTGCGGGGCGGCGGTCGTGTGCTCGGTCCGGCCCTGGGCCAGGCTGGCGGGCCCGCACGCGCGTCAGTTGCCCGCCTCGTCAGACCTGGCTCCGACGACCCCCTCTGACGACACTGGCAAATCGGTTCCGACGACCGATTTGCGCTGGGATGTTCGGGACTAGAAACCTCTAAGCACACCTTTAATCCACACTAGGTTATCCCCACATGGTTACCTCCAAGAGTCCTTGGGTGCCTAGCAACGCAAGCCCCTAACCAAGGGTCCGTGTTTGTCGAGGGATGCACTAAGTGTAAATATAGTCGTGTGCACTAGAACGTTCCCAAACACATTTGCGCATCGTTAAATGACGAATTGGCTCGTGTGCAAAATTTCTCCTCGCGTCAATACGTCGATAGAGAATATTTCATTCACAAAAAGGTTTATCACAAACAAACGCAAGGACAAATTAATACTAACCCACCAAAAGCGAAAGCAAGCAGCCCACCGAAATAAAAACTAGAACCATGTCAGAATGTTATATTGCTTACGTTGTGTAGGCTATAGTGGGGTAGCCCATAAGGGGTACAACCCAATTAGGGTTCGTACTTGTACCCAATTCTTTCATAGTTCATTCATTCTCGTTCAGTATTCTGACATGGTTTCAGAGTAGGTCCTTCCTTAGGACCGTATTATTTAGGGCCCACCATAGAGCTGCCCCACTAGCTGCACTGCCCTACCAGCGCGCTGCCCTGCAGTCTCACGAGCCGCCCTCTGCAGCCCCGCACGCCGCCCCTAGCAGCCCGCGAGCCGCCCCTGCAGCCATGCGCACTGCCCTTGCTGCCCTCATGCCGCCTCTGCAGCCCCACGCGCCGCCCTTGCTGCCCTCGTGGCACCCCTGCAGCCCCGCACGCCGCCCCTTGCGGCCCGCCCGTCACCCCTGCTGCCCCGTGCGCCGCCCCTTGCGGCCCGCCCGCCGCCCCTGCAGCCCCGCGCGCCGCCCCTTGCGGCCCGCCCGTCGACCCTGCTGCCCCGCGCGCAGCCCCTTGCGGCCCGCCCGTCGCCCCTAGGCCCCCAGCGCCGCCCCTGCTGCCCTGCTCGCCGCCCCTGCAGCCCCGCGCGCCGCCCCTTACGGCCCTCTCGCCGCCCCTGCAGCCCCGCGCGCCGCCTCTTGCGGCCCGCCCGCCGCCCCTGCTGCCCCGCGCCCCGCCCCTTGCGGCCCGCCCGTCGCTCCTAGGCCACGTGCACCGCCCCTGCTGCCCTGCTCGCCGCCCCTGCAGCCCCGCGCGCCGCCCCTTACGGCCCTCCCAGTTAGAGACTAAGGACGGAGTCTATGAAGATTAGGGGCTGAAATATCTCAAAATGGTCAACTACAATTATGGACAGAAAAATCGTCGTCGACAAAAAACGCTTCGTCAGAATTCTCTCAAACTCGAGTATGTTGTAGCCCTTAACGGTGGCTATCTTTACCAATTTGAATAGTATCAAAATATGGAGTATAACTCGAGTTATGAACTTCGGCGCACTAGAGGGTATGCTGCCATAGAAAAAACGTAAATCACAATTATCTCACAAGTTCACACAAGAAAGTTGGAGTAGCAATAGAACCAGGTAGGAGAGGATGAGGAGGACGAGATGGAAGGTCCCAAGGGATTCCCCAACCAAGGAAACCCCATACCACACAATTCCCCTCTCTATAGGCACCCCAACTTTGACATTTGTCACTTTCCAACTCATGCCATCCACCTCACCCAACTTGGCCACACTTGCCAACCTGGTTTGGCTTCTCCCAACTAATTGGCATCATCTACAGTGATGGTGACGAATTTCCCAACCCCCAAAATTCTGTACCCCATATTGAGTCAACCCGCAAATTCCTATAGTCGCCACATCTCAATCAAAACTTCGAATGATCATATCTTTCTCGTTCTTGCTTCGATCGCAGTGAGTCTCGGTTCGTCGGGAAGCTCTTGAGCAGAGGAGTCACTTCAGATATCTGCTCAAGCCAAATAACATTCACACACACTCAGAAAATTCAAACAACACCAAACACAAATTCTTGCACACGCTCACACCACGCATGCAACACACGAACATATGATGGGAGGCAGACAGACGTGAATGCAAATGATAGCATCACATAACAAACTCCCCCTCTGGCTGCCTACCATCATCCTATATGCCATAGCACAAGCATGCACCCTCAATGCACACTCATTCCAGCAAGTTTCATCCCCTTCCAATGCTCATTTTCAGCCAGACGCTTGGTGAGAATGTCTGCCGCCTGCTGATGGGTCTTCACAATCTCCAGCCGCACCTCCTTGTCCAGGAGCCTCCTCACCCAGTGCCACTTTGGCCTGATGTGCTTTGTCAGGCCATGAAGATATGCATTCTTGGCAAGCTTCACAGCAGACTCATTGTCACAAAGAATCACAGTCGGCTCCTTCTGGCACACTCCGATCTCCTCCAACAAACGCCTCAGCCACACCACCTCCTTAGCCCCATGATGCAGGGCCATGTACTCAGTCTCACACGAGGACAGCCCCACCTCGTTCTGCTTCTTGCTGCGCCAGCTCACTGCACCACCTCCAAACAGGCACACATAGCCTCCAATGCTGGTGCCATCCGCCTTTACAGAGTTGAAGCTAGCGTCGGTGTAGCAAGTCAAGAGCATCTCCCCCTTGCTCAAATCAGCTGCACCCCTCTGCAGCCTCTGTCGCACAGCACTGTACTCCAAACCCACAGATGCTGTAGCACTCACATAGCGGACCAACCTCTTGGCCGCTTCTAGCTGCTCATGACTGGGGCGTGAGACCACACTTGCAAGCCTGGATATAGCAAAGGCAATGTCAGGCCGCGTGTGGTTAGCCGCATAGTTGAGTGCCCCCACCATGGAATGAAACAGATTCCAGTCACTCTCACCCACCACCTCCTCATCAGCACAAGGCTCCACAGTGAAACCCGAAGGTAGTGGGGTGGCTGGTTTTCCTCCATCTTGCAGCCCATACTTCCCAGCCAGCCCCTCACAGTACTTCCTCTGGTGCAACCTCAACACTCCCTTGTCAAGGTCTCTCTCCACATGCATCCCAAGGTAATACTTGACATCTCCCATTTTTGAGCACTTGAACTGCATCTCTAGCATCTCCTCCACATGCTCAATCATTGCAGATGACTCAGAGAGGAGAAGGATGTCATCCACATACACCAGGAGCATGAGGAACTGCTCCTTCTCTTGCAGCAGGAACAAACTGTGATCACACTCGCTCTTCTTGAAACCCCCAGCCAGCAGTGTCTCCTCCAACTTGTGGTACCATGCGCGAGGAGCCTGCTTCAGGCCATAGATGGCCTTCTTGAGCCTGCACACCCTGCCGCTCCCATCATCCAACCCCTCAGGCTGCAGCATGTACAGCTCCTCTAGGATGATCCCATTGAGGAAAGCAGTTGTGATGTCCATCTGCTTGATCCTCCATCCACGGTTTGCAGTTGTTCCCAACATCACCCTTAGTGTAGTCCCTTTCCCCACAGGAGCAAAGATCTCATCAAAGTCCTTCCCCTTTGTCTGCTGAAACCCCTTAGTCACAAGCCTTGACTTGTAGCGGGTCAGCTCCCCATCAGGTCCGTACTTGTGCCTGAAGATCAGCTTGGAAGAAATGACCTTCTTCCCAGGAGGCAGCTCACACAGCTCCCACGTTTCATTCTCCAACAGAGAGTCATACTCCTCCTTCACACTCTGCTTCCACTTCTCAGCATCGGGCCCACCAAAGGCCTCAGCTAGCGTCTTGGGCTCAGGGAAGGCTGCCCAGTAGCAGTGTGCTATCTCTTCCTCATCACACTGCTCAGCCACACTCCCAGCCCGTACCACCTTTGGCTTTCCAAAACTAGGATAGGTCAGCCTATTAGGAGGGCGCACATCCCTCCTAGGACGGTCTGGCGGACGTTGGGTACGTGGTAGAGCATCTTGCTGCTGCTGCTGCTCCTCCACCTCAGGTTCTCCCCCATCCTCAGTCACCCCAGAGATCTCCTCATCTGAGACAGTGACCTGCAGTTGCCTCGAAGGCCGCTGCACCTCATCGGCCTCGATGATCAGTGGTGTAGTAGGAAGCTTTTGCTGCTGCTGCTTCCACTCCTTGTAGTACAAGGACTCAAGGAACTTCACATCCCTTGACACAGTCAGCTGCTGGCTGGTCAAGTCCCATATCAACCAGCCCTTATGATCCTTAGCAAGCCCCAAGTGTACTCCCCATCTCCCAGAAGCCTCCAACTTTCCCCTCTTCTCCTTAGGCACATGAAACACTACCATGCAGCCGTAGGCTCTCAGCATGTTGACTGCTGGTGCACTCCCATACCACTTGGTGTAGGGGACCCACTGCTTGTCCCCCACAGTCGCCAACACC